AGTTCATGCGGGTTGACATCCCTGGTCATGCTCAGAGTGCAGGAAATGTTTGTCAGAAATTACAACTCTACAACACTTGCTCTACAACAGATATTTATCGGATTTCTTTTTTTTAAATGTGGCCCAGTATAATACTCATACCCTGCCTGCACACTTATTCATGTTATGGATGCTATTGCGCGTTTCATATAGTTTGACCTCTTCTTTGTGACCCAATTGTTTTAGAAACTCTCCAGTCTGGAATCAGGGACTTTCTTGAGGTCCATGCTTCTGACTGCACTTCTCCCCCCGCTAGTTAATCAGCGAGCTGAACTCCATTCCCTTCTTATATATAAAAAAAAAGCTGCACTAGGATGTGACAGCCGGGTACTATAGCGGCAAGCGGCAAACACCACAAAAGTATATACACTTCCTCGATATTATAAATGAACTGTATTGTGCTGTGCCTTGATTCACTAATCTGTGAAAAATAAGAAACAATATAAAACCAGCAAAAACCATGTGCTTCCAACCGTATACGGTAAAGTGCAGTTTAGTGCAAAACAGTGATGACACCTGCACTATGCCCAAAATGTCTTTGCATCAATCAATGCAAAATCAACCATAATGCCATGTGATCTATCTATATAAGACAAAATTAAAACCTATCCAACCATATATTCACAGTTGTGAAAAGTGCAAACGTGTGCATCAAACGACATGCATCTTCAAATCAATTATATAAATAAGTTCGATTTCTTAGATGAATAAATAAGTGGATAAAATGTCTTTACTCGCTCCCTGTCCTGACATCCAGGGGTGTGAAACAAGAGCCGCAAGGGAGGCCTCATTAGCTAATCGGTCCTCCACCAGGTACAGGATTCAGAAATTTCGGGGCCCCTTACACGGCTTTAGGTCGGGCCCCCCCGCCCGGTCGTCGTGCCACACCGCCCAAATGCACCGCCGCCACGCTGAGCCAGTCACACTGTTAATATTATACATTTATATAGCTCTGATATATACCGCAATGCTGTACAGAGAACACTGAGCCAGTCACATCATTCCCTGTACAGAGGAGCTTACACTCGAATGCAGAATGGCACCGCTTGTAGGGGGACTATAAATCCCAGCAATACATTTATACAGCAATGCAGAACAGTATATGAATTGGACTCTGGGCTTAGTTACGCGCCGGACTCTGGGCTTAGTTGCGCACCAGACTCTGGGCTTAGTTGCGTGCCGGACTCTGGGCTTAGTTGCGCGCCAGACTCTGGGCTTAGTTACGAGCCACGTTTTTCAAGCCGGTCTCTGGCTTTAGTTACTCGCTGGGCACCGGACCCACCTGAGACCCAACACAGCCCACCTGAAAGTGACCCTGCAGAGCACACCATACATGCTGCACAGCCCATCTGAGACTCTGTGGCGGGCTCTGCAGGGGTCCCAGGTGGGTTGGTTGGGGCTGCATCTCCCTCCCAGCTACTCTTACCTGCTGCTGGTGCCTGGCCTCCTCTGCCGCCGGACTGGCCAGAAGTGACGTGATCCCCGCTACCTCTGGCCACTTGTCTGCGTCATTGTCGGACTAGTATAGTGATGGCGAATGTTTTTGAACCCGAGTGCCCAAACTGCAACGCAAAATCAATTTATTTATCTCAAATTGCCAACACTAAAAATAACTTTAGTATTACGTTGCAGTTTGGGCGCTCGGGTTTAAAAAATGTTCATCATCATTACCGCCAAAATAGGAAAACACACCTATTCAAATATTTATACACTCATTAACCACTTGCTGCCCGGAGCAATTTCTTACATTTGTGCACACATGATAAAATCTGAATTTTTGGGTAGAAAACAGCTTCGGACCCCCAAACAATGATATATGTTCTGAAAGCAGGGGCCCTGTAGAATAAACATATGCAAGTTGCAATTTTTTATGTTGCACGGTATTTGCGCGAATGTTTATCAAACCAGTATTTTTAGGATAAAATACACTAAAATGAAATTTAGTGCACAGAATCAGAATATAATGGCTAATTTTTTGGTACAATATAAAAGACGGGGTCACGCCTGGCAAATAGATGCTAAACATGTCAAGCATCCATGAAACCGCCAAAAACTACAATAACCATGTAATACCCCTAATGTCACCTAGGGACCCCAAAGAAGCTGATGAAGCAGATATCTGCTTCACCAGCTTATTCTTCTGGCTCTAAGGGGTTGTCCACACCACTTGCAGTGCGTCCCAGCCCGATTCCGTCCGGAACGCACTGCATCACATTGCGGCAGGCTCAATTTTTGCCGGGTAGGAGGGGGAGTAGCGGGCCATTGAAGTGAATGGCACCATAGCCACGCCCTCCAGCCACAATGTGATCGCCCGCACGGGATCGCAGGGCACATTGTGCCTGCGTCCCGATGCGGTCAAAATAGTGCTTGCAGCATTTTGACTGCACCGGAACGCACTGCAGGCAGAATGTGCCCTGCGATCCTGTGCGGGCGATCACATTGCGGCCGGAGGGCGTGGCTATGGCGCCATTAACTTCAATGGTCCGTCACGCCCCCTCCTGCCCGGCACAAAAGTGGGCCGGCTGGGATGCAGTGCGTTCTGGCTGGAACGCACTGTAAGTGGTCTGAACAGGCCCTAAGAGCCAGAGACTGTGTACAGTGACACCGGAAGTGATGTAATGCACATCACTTCCGGGTCCAGTGATCGGAGGAGAGATCCGCAGCTAGAAGCCACTGATTTCTCCTCCGATCTGTCAGGGAAGAACCTCCACGCGCGGCCTGGGCTCACACGAGGGACAGATGAGCCCAGGAAACTGACGGTGGCACCGGCGGCCGTGGAGGAGGGGGGCACAGCTCCGCACCATACAAGCGATTCAGTGCCTGTACAGACGCCGGATCGCTTGTATTTAAACAGCAATCGTCAGCTGTTTAACACGGTACAAGAACATGACGCACAATTACGTGAACCCGCAGGAAGTGGTTAAAAAAAACGTGTAATGAAACACACACATATCACACACATACACTCATTAAAAAACACACACATAGCTTCGTTAAAAAAATCACACACATTCATTAAAACACACACAATAAAACACACACACACACATTAACAATTAAAATAGTTATTTAAAAAACGTACCCCTCTCCTGCTTACCTGTTTTGCAGGAAGGGGGGCTGCATCCCTGGGTCCAGTGGTGAATCAGTGTGATCTGCACTCTGGCTGATGCAGACCATACTAATCGATCCCTGAGAGTTAGCAGAGGCACCACGAGGGACCGATCAGTATGATCTGCATCAGCAAGAGATGCAGATCATACCGATTCCCCACTTGACGACCAGGGAATGATTTTCATTCAATATATTGCCTGTTCGGCAATATATTAAATGAGATGTGGGCGCATGCCAGGTTTAAAGATGGCTGCCGCTACTCGCCGCGGCCACCTTTAAAAACTAGTGTACAGTGGAGTGACCCCCTGGGGACACCGGAGGAGGCATCCATGGTGAGTGTCTGGAGCGTGTGGGCCCCGGCCTCCTCCGGTGCTGCGGGGGGCCTGGCCACATCCTGGCCTGCCACTAAGTTGCACGGCCGATACCCATGTAAGGTACACGGGCCCTTAAGGCTGGCCGGGCCCCTTACATCAATATCGGCCGTACCCCCCTGACGGCGGCCCTGTACAGGATACCCCACTGAAAGGTAGATTCCAATCTGTCATTTTCTGTGCAGCAGAGACTTCAAGATGCAAGTTCACCAACTGACACATTTTGTCATGTGACTTCATCAGGGTGGGTTTCCAAACCAAATGTTCAAGTTCATTTCCCAATTCACTCCTCAGCCCTACTACCCCTTCCATGGACATTGCCCTACTACAGATACACCGCTCCAACTTGCCTTATAATGTAAGAGGGTTAGTAATACACATACTATATGTAGCTAAGATCCTGATTACCCAACATTGGATTGGCAAGACTCTAATCCCCCTGAATACAGGGAGGCCATAAGAATAATTATGAATGAATGTATGTTTGCCATAACAAATAACAAACATGCCTCCTTCCACAAGGTTTGGGAAATCTTTTTCTTGAGGTCCATTAAGGTGCACAGGACTTTAGGAATTATTTAACCTATATATACTGCCACCTACAGAAATTGTGGACATTGGCAAACAGTAAAAACATAATAAGTACACAAATATTTGTCCCCAGAATGAAAGCTACAGGATGGTGAGGCCCATAAGGCAAACATGGTTTCTAAATAATTTTTCTGAATCCCTGTTCATCCTGCCAGTAGATCCATTATTTTTCAACTTCCTGTAATAGGCTGACCTCCCTGTGCTGTGGAGCAACAACATGTCACACTGTCAATAGTTGGTCATAAATTAATCTTAGATTTACATATTTGACATATATTATATTGACATGATCTTCCCCAATCCAAAATGCTGCCATAAGGTCTAAAACAAAAGTGTGGGGGAAAAAATGAGTATATATACTTACATCCGACACATAGGTGAGGTTGAGCTGATGCTCTGCAATATTGCAGGAGTGTCTTGTGAGGTTTGGGCTCCTCCTCGATCTCTAGGATGTTGTGACATCACACCCACCCAACAGTACAGAAGCCGGAGGTTAGCTAAATTCATTTGCTATTTCTCCCCCCCACACACACACACACACACACACCACACCACCATTTAAAAATGTTTTTTTTTATGAATAGTCCATTAAAAGAGAAAATTAAAAAGCATTGAAAGAAAGTGAAAGAAGCATCAGCACAGTGAAGCTCTACAGAATTTGTTTGCTTTAATATCTGCCTAGAGTTTAGCTTTAACCTATTTGTGCAGTCTTTTTTTCCTATGTAATCAACCACCATTTAGTGCTACATTTTCTCAAACTGGGCATATATTGCTTGTAATAACTGCAACAATTGTTGATTATTGGGAGTGCTCAGGAAGAGTCACTAACACGTTGCATTGATCACTTTTATAACTTGTTTATCATAGTATTATGATTTTGTTTTTCAGGAAATGTTTGATGCCACACTGAGAGACCGAGAGCTTAGCTTTCAATCTGCACCTGGTACCACCATGTTTCTTCACTGGCTTGTTGGAATGGTTTATGTGTTTTACTTTGCTTCATTCATTCTGTTACTAAGAGAGGTAAGAGCTGGCAGAAGTCGCAACACTAACTTTGACCACCTAAATGCCCAGGCCTATTTCTTCCTAAATCCCTTTGAGTCTCAGATTTTTTTTTCCCAGCAATGTCTTGGTTATGCACATCATATCTTATAAGTTGTATAGCCTACCCCTACATATTCTAAAAAAAATTCCCAGCTCAGATAGGATTTTTAATTTGGTAGCAAATTTAGATATACATATTTCTCTCCGTTCATTGAAGGACACAGTGGAAATATTTAATTCCTCACCATTTGGGTTATAGCGCTACACTCAAGAGTAGGCCACTACGCAAACAAAAGCACAGCCAAGGGGCGGCCCTTGACAGTGGCCAAACCTCCTCTTGGAAGCAGCTAATTTTTTTGCCTAGTGCCTAGGAGTAAGGACCTAAACTCCCTCCTGGCAATCTTGATTCCCTCTCTTTTTGCAGGAAATCATTTTTTTTTTTTTCTTCATTTCTTCAAGACTTGGGTGGTAGGCTGGATAATCTAGACCCTTGTCTTTTGTACATGTTTGTCTGCTCTTTTTGGACTGAAGGGCAGCCTATGAGATATCACACAAGGTGATGTATATGACCAATTGGTCCCAGACTGATTTGTCACAGTGTTCCCTAGTCAGACAGCACCCCGGCTGCAGTGGGAAGCGTCCTGTCCATGGAAGGTTTCCCCTTCATCCTCGGTATGTAGTTGTGAAAACCTCCACCTTGTCCCTCTTGGAGTGGCAAGGAGTGGGTTTTTGGGTACCTTTTATTCCCCCTGTTCCTTTGTGTTCTGTGTGGAAATGTTTGGTGCAGATTTGCCTTTGCCCAGGTGTATTAGGTCACTGCTAAGCTAAAGGTACAGTGCCTTTGACTTCTGCTGGCACTTGGGAACCTCTTCCCGCTGGGGAAGTCCTTCCCCCACAGGCTTTTTGCAGAGAGCAAGTCACCCCCTCCATGCTTAATCCAGGAAGACTTTACTACAGTTGATTTTGGTCTTTCCAATGTGGCTGCAGGGGCAGCTAGCACTCCTCTATGCCTTCCACTGCGGACTCAATGTCTGACCAGCCTGTAGCCTTAGTGACCACTGAACTGCTAGCTGTGGAGATTTAGTCTGACAACTTCCTACGATGATGTCCCTAGGAGTTGCAGACAGTTGCCAAAGACTTGGAGTGTCCTTTCCTGCCAATCGGAAGCATAGTGTAACCACTTCTTCCTTGTAGCACTGGGGTCTGGTTCTAATCCTGTCCAGGACATTATCTGCAAAGAGTTTGTATTTACTTATGTTATGGTGCACCCCACCTTGCAATTTGTAGAACACTCCCTAGTTTTTGCTAGTGCATCTCCCTGTATCCATTTCCTCTGGACAGAGTGAGACTTTTTCTATATGGTATTCAAAGTCGTAGTGAAGCCATAAGCAAGAACAATCTAGAAGAAAATCTTACTCTACTCCTTTTTTCCGTGAAATGCATCAAGCCAAATCCTTCTGATTAGCCCCAATGTGATATAAAAATATTGTTATGTACTATGTAAGGCATGTTTGTCGGTACACATACCTTGGTATACATGTAGAAGGTATCATGGATAAAACAAAGTGAGACTATTATATTTTGAATGGTGCCATTTTTATTGGTTCACTGGTTGTTTGATTTTAAGATGTTAATGTACATTAATAAAGTTTGTCTTGATTTACAATTACATATAATGTTTTAAACTAGGTACCGTTTACCCTACTTACCAACCCACCCTATCAAAACTAACCTCAGATAAGCTGAGATCAGCTGAGAGTATGTATATATTCAATATATACAGGTACATAGGATATTGCAACTATTAGCGACATGTACACATGCACGTGTTGAACGTTCTGTCTTTCTTCAACCTTACCAAGTATGTAATGACATGGCAATTGTGTACTTTACTTTAACAATTAGTTGGTAGTCTTGCCATGGCAAGAAGAGCAGTGGTGAGGATCGCTCCTGGCCAGAAATTCATGTTCTATCCATGTTGGCTATTTACTTTCTGTGGTGCCCTTTTGGCAGACAGACTTTTTCTGCTTTCATGGCCTGGATTGGGGGGACCAACCTTTATCCCCAGGGGTTTCCAGGACTTGTGTCGCAGGTGCGAACGCCAGATGTGGACCTTCTGGTTTCCAGATTTCTTCTACATGCTGGTCAATTTATCTTTAGGTCCATAATTCTCTGCTGGAGCAGCAGGATGCTTGGGTTTCTATGTGGGATCGGGATGACCTTTTTTTCTATGTCTTTCATGCTCTGTACCCCCTCAGATCTTAGTCCCATGGACCAAATTCCATCTTCTTTTATGGTCATTGTATTTAATGAGATGGCTGTTGAAGCTCAGGTCCTGGGTGACCAGATTTTTTCTGAATCTGTGATTGCCGTGCACTGATTGTTGGGGAGTCTACTCTCCGTGGGGACTACCATTGATCATGAACTGCATACTTCACCTGTTGCGAGGAAAGTAGCATTCATCCCCAGAAAAACTCTGACTCTGATTTCTGCCCTGTTTACATTTAGGTTTGAATCAGCCTCTGCACCTGGAATAGTTGGGGATGATCTCAGTGCCTCCAGTCTTATTAGCACTGCTAGACTTCTTTTTCTGTATTGAACCTGTGCAGAGGGTGTGACCTATGTAGTTCCTCCTGTATGACCTCCTATGCTTTCCTTGCATTTGGGTGTGGTTCTCTTCGTGCCTCAGCTGCTTTGAAACCTAATAAAAGTATTCCCCTTTGTGTCTTTACTTAAAGGGCCATGTTGCTGCTTACCATCTTTTTGTGTTAAGTGTTTACAAACTGATCCCTTTGTCATGTAGGATCCTTTCTGGTCCTGCACTGGGATGGGGTGGTGTTACAGCTAGTGTCTCCTTCCTCTCTGCAGTGGCTTCTGTTCTAAACACTTACCAGGACTTGGTTCACTCATCCCTCTGTTCATCTCCACTACTCAGAAGGTAATTTTCTTTCTGGCTATGTCAATTTTTTTGTGCTGTATGGGTTTACCTAAATGCTATTGCTTGTCTTTCTTGCCAGGCTCCCTAGCGGTCCTTATCTGGGTGGATCACATTACCTATTTTCTGACTGTATATATGTTTACCATTCAAGGCTTGCATGGCTTTGTATTGTCCCTGCCTTGGGGTTGTTGTTTAGTGTTTCCACCCCTCAGTTGGTACTGCTTTTGGTTGCCCCAATGGTCAGAGATTCAAATCTCTGTTGTGTCCTTCAATGAATAAAAGAGAAAATAGGATTTTTGTACTATAAAATCCTCTGTGCTGCGTTCATTAAGAACCCAGCACCCTCCTCCCTGGTTCTTTTGTCTGTGACCATGTGTTCTATATGTACTGCTTTGTGACTTACTGAGGTGCCTGTAGCAGATAGCGGGTTTGGCCACCATCAAGGGTTTTCTGCCAAGTGTCATACTCCTGGAGGAGGTGCTATAACTCAGTGGTCAGAAATTCAAGATCTGTTTCTTTCAATGAACGCAGGGAAAAGGATTTTACGGTGAGTACAAAAATCCTATTATTTTATTTCCTTTACTTCCTTTTTATTGGGAATAAATCTTTAAAAAAAAAAAAGAGAAAAATAGCTTCTGTAATTTTTCCCAACCCTTCATTTATGTAATTTGTGCACCCCCATATATTTACCTCAAAATCACATTAGTGTGTTTTACTGTAGAAGTTTTTTTTTTTCTTCCTCTTTGTATGCTACATTATGACACACACACACACACGCCATAGGAGATAAGGTTAATAATTATGCATACCGTATTATAATTTTCTACATGGAGGAAAGTCTGGATCTGGTCATTGGAGACCTGATCCAGAAGATCCCCCATGCAACTGTGTAGCAGCAGATCACTTCTAATCAGCCAGCAATCTATTTGTTATATCACATGATAGTAACCATTTATTAGCTTCTTGTACAAATTAAAACATTTTTTTTAAACACGTTATTGAAAATTTTCAACATTAACAATAAGTAAATAATGTAAAACCATAGCAGTGCCATTATAGATATACACAAAAAGTACAGTGATCACAAAAAGGTAATACAACAATACCAAAAAGCTTACATTGTATCTTTATCCAAAGATCTTTTTGGAGAGTGTTATGTTTATCCACAAAAAGAGTACTACTTACATTATTTAGAACGGATAGCGATCACAGTAAAATTAAGCAGTAGTTGGCAATGGCACATGAAAAACATCAGTTTGTTCATTCATACATACAACTCTCTGAAAAGTAGACACCTCTGTCATTAAAGAATCCAAAAATAAAAATTAAGTAAAGTTAAAAATGAAATGAAGGGCCTCGGGGTAATAGTGATCTAAAACTGAAAGAACAACATGGCTCTAAGTTTGGATTTGTCTTGAGAGATAAAGATATACATTATACTACCATCGGTAGGTGAGTGAGGTATGCATTGGATAATCACTGGAAGTATGATAGGCGCATGATGATATATCAGTAATGATAAGGGCAGTACCGATATTGGCGATATTACAGTGAATCCCTCAGCAGTTCCAAATTATAATATGCTATGTACCTAAACAGGAGCAAAATGTTATATTACTCTGAAGAAGTGAAGAAATTATCAATAAAGGGTGGCCAACAATTGAAGAACCTAGACACTACGCTCAGAGGAGAGGTCCAGCTCTGCATCCAGTTTCTCTAGGTACAGCAATTGTGGAAGATCTCCCAAAAGTCTATCAATGGTTGGAGGACATAAGGAGAGCCAGTCTTGCATTATGCACCTCCTTGCCACTAATGGACATATTTTAATCCACTATCTGTTGGTCCGACTCTTGGTAGTAGGGGGATTATTATCAGCATCCCAGTAACTAAACAGTAATAATAATGGGTATAGAGGAAGCCTTTGGCCCTGAATGATGGTTATAAAGGCAAGCACCAGAAAGTTTGGCTCATAAGGCAAGACCACAAACAGTGGAATAACAAGGTAGCTGGCTCCCCGCATTTTGGGCAACTGTTTTTCTAG